GATGCATTTTACAGATAAGCATGAGGTACAGACGAGAGCAAAGTATAGCAAGAGGTTCCTGGAAATTATTATTGCTCTCGTCCGAATCCTAGACGACACGGATATACCTAGTAGCCTTATCAAGCTCAGTCCATTCCAAAAAAAAAAACATGGGCTTCAGTCAATCAAGCGGTGGCCACTATGCTAGAAGGCTATATACCAGAGGAGAAAGCACAGTGGCAGCTAGATATTCATGTGCAAAACTGGATATCATCCTTTATTGAGCACGAGATGAAAGAAGACGACGAACTGACGAATGGCATACTTGCTGCGATCGGCGCCACAGCCATCACACCAGATGGCGGCTGGGAAAAGTCTCGACAATGCATACAACGACTATCAGCTATTATTCGAGTCATACGGGCATTACAGTACTCCAGTGCTGAGTTGAAAAACTGGATATAATAGACACTCTACGCCTCGAAGCAGACTTTGCCACGGAAGAGGATATAGAGGAGAGGACGCCGTCTATCTATAGTCCAGTCCGCCACCGTGTGAACAAGTTCCTAACTCGTACAGACGGGAAGGGTAGCTAACGCCCAACACCAACGGACTGGCTGCTGAAGGCACGCACCTACGGATACAAAATCAACTTCGAGACCCTAGCGAAGGCTATGTCTGGTGGGAGGGTCAAACTATACACTATAAGGATATCAGCATTCATATGAGCGCCCTTGCCATTATGATGCAGAACCCTGTAGCAGAGGCGCAGGCTAGTCTTGCTGAGCTTGCCGTCTGTGCAGAGGAGGGTATTGCAGCACTACCTAAGATACCATGGGACAGGCCACAAGACGATGTGGGTCGCGCAGACCGAGGGTTTTGGTTCCTTATGGATGAGCGCAACCAATAGGCACATGGTAAGGATGTGGTTACTCAAGCGCCTAGAAAGGGTCCCCAAGATCTACAAGAAGTGACTTCCTCAACAGCAGACCGCTGAGTTCTCCACTAGTGCTGCCAACGACTGGGTCCGAAAAGCAGAACGGCTACGGAGCCAGCTTATGTTCCTGGTACACATACTATCCATGCCATTCCGCGGCACAGAGTTTAACAACCTACGTTTCAAAAATACAACAAATGCAGGCGTCCGCAATATCATTATACACAACAAAATGGACGCGTCAGTTACATCCTATCATAAAGGGTATCGGCATAGCGGGGAGGCCAAGGTTATCCATCAGTTCCTACCACGTGAGGTTGGCGAGATTGTTATCTGGTACCTCTGGCAGATCCTACAATTCTGGTGCTCCGTTACAGCAGCACAGGAAATGTCCTGTAATACTGAGCCGGTCCAGTCAAGTGCCTACCTATGGGTTCGCGAAGTCAACCGCTCAACCCCATACCTACCTACGCTTGGCCCTGGGCACATAAAGCAAGAGGTATTGTGGACCTCAGATAAACTCCGTCGAGTAATGCAGGCAACTTGTGGACGCCACCTGGGGCTACAATAGCACCAAGTAAGTGGCGTCACATAGGAATCGCGATTAGCAACAAATATCTTGGATCGGAAGCAATGAAGCATAGTCGGCCGCACGCTCGTTGTCGCCTCACTGCTGCCGGGTAGCCAGCGTGTTGCGGTGGATCTCACGTGCAGCCAGCCAAGACCTCTCTAGTCCAGAATCCAGGGGCACCTTCCCTCCACCACCAGCAATTTATGGCAATGCTATCTACATTCTGGCCCGTATCTCGTCAGCGAGAACACCGGGGCATTTTTTCGATCGCTTGTCGCAGAGGGTCGTGCCTGGAAAGGCGTATTAAAATGAAATTATGAGTCAAAGGGGAACAAAAGAAATGAAGGTTTTGGGATTGCGTGGCTGGCTGTTCTTGCACAACAGCCTTTCACGCGTCCCGGTGGTGTTCGATCGCCATCAGCGTCGGAAGTCACATCCGCCATTATTGGCAGTAAGCTGCGTCTGCGGCAATTGTGCCTCAGGTTGCAGCGGGTGTGTGTCGTTTTGTACACTCAGGCCGCCCGTGGCCTGCCGCGCATCGATGCTGGCAGCACAGCTTCTTGCCGTTTGCGGTATGGCTATGCTCGGTTGTTGGCTACTGCATCGGCCTTCGTGGGCAGCAGTGCTCGAAGAAGTACTCCGCGAGCCGTGCGAATCTCTTGTGGTCTTTTGTAAGTATGTCGCTAATCCTCTGTTGGGAAATATTGTCGGTGACCCGCAGCCACCTAGGGATCTTGCGGCAGTAGAAGATGTGTTTCTCGTCTTTCCTTCTGCCACACAGGCAGTCTGGCGAGTAGTCTTCGTGGTGAAAGCGCTCGTGATACGCAGCAAAATCGCCGTGTCCTGTCCTGGCTGCTAGGAGGTGACCGAGCAGGCGCCGTGGTAGGTCTAGTTCCGGCGTTACTTGTGTTGAGAAGGAGAGCCCAAGAGCGCTGTACTTGGCGCTTGCGTTCTCCTTCCACCACTGCGAGACTGCTCTGGGCAGCCATTCGCGGGCAAGCCTTCTGATGTGCGCTGCCGTAGGTATGCTAATGGTGTCTTTGCTGCAGCCCAACTTGGCGAGCTCGTCCGCTCGCTCATTTCCGGTATCCCCATGTGTCCAGGGACGCATCGCAAGGTCACTCTTGACGTCGCGAGCCGTCTTATCGCCTCGAAGGTGGCGATAGAGGATTTGGCTGGTTTGCCAGCCAGGGTGCGGAGCTCCGCTGTGTTGTCGAGGCATACCGTGATGCTCTTGGCTGTGTTAATTCGCATCGCTTTACGCAGCCCGCGAAGAGCAGCCACTGCTTCTGCGTCGTATACTTCCGCATAGGTGAGGCTGTCGTGGAGGTGCCATATCTCCGCGCCTTCTTCAAAGAGGGCCACGCCACAGCCGACTCGGTCTTGTTCGTCTTTTGAGCCGTCTGAGAAAACGCTTATTCCGTCGTAGCTGCTGTACCACTCAAGAAAGTCCTTTGCAGCTTGTTCCTTTGTCTGATCGCTGATGTGTACTTGCACTGGTTCGGGATGTGGGTTTTGGAGCTCGTGATGTCTGATCCGTGGGGTCAGCTCTAACGTGTCTTGTAGTCTTGTACTAGCTCCCCGGGCGCGTTTCAGCGAGTGAAAGGAAGAATAGCGCTGCCACAGCAGAAAGAGATTTGAAATGCATGGTGAAGTACGGAGACAATGCTAGCTGCTTGCCGACTGCGGATCGATACTAAAGTGAAGCAAATGTTTGGCGATAAAACATAGCAGGAAGTCACTGGGGGGGGATACCAAGACTTATATCAATAAGACAATCGACTGGAGATTCCAGTAACAGGTAACGTAATAGTTGTGAGTAATGGTAGTTTTTGAGTCGAGCGTCGGCGAAGCCGGCGATTGGGTGAGTTGGGAGACAGGAAGATCGACCGGTTAACCACTTCTTTATTGAAGAAATGAATGTAGTGCATTTTTGTTTACCTTCCGTTTCTGGTAAATTCTGAAGATCGTT